TCAGACAGGGAAAGGGGATTAGAGTGGTACTTAGGGAAAGTGTAGGGCTAATTTGTGGAAATGCCTGCCAAAAAGATTGGTCCCCACTGGTTTAAACCTTTAATACATCAGTATATTAATTAAGCCAGGATTTTGAAATTTGACAAAGAGAAGTTTCTAAAAATACAGATGTGTTTGACAATTAAAAAACAAAACAGACAAAACCCCCTATGTTTATAAAGCCCCTTCAGAGAATGGATTAGATCAGTGGTGCTTATCCTTTTCACTCTGTGGGCCAGGTGAGTGGGGTGGGGCCTGTCCACAGGGTGGTTTGAGTCCTGCATGCCCGAATTGAGCCTTGGGGCACAGCACTGCCCCCATGTGCAAGGACTGATCCTCAGACACTGCCCCACTCCTGCCCCAGAGTACCAGGATTAGGGACCTGGCACCTCTCCCTCCTATTCTTGTGCACTGGGACTAGGGATTAGTCCCTAGGGGCTTGGTGCCATCCTTTCCTGTCTGGATTGGCCTCAGGGGCCTGGCACCACTCCCTTCCAGCTCCACAAAGTGGGAATGGGCCTTGGGGTCCAGCACTGGCCCCTTCTAGCCCTGCATGGTGGGATCAGGTGCCTGATACAGCACACAGAGCCTGGAGTTCCCCATGGGTCTGAAAATTTGGCAGTTGGGGAGCAATGCCACCGCTGTCCTACAGACAATTTTTGAGAGCCATGGGTAGCCCTGTGAGCCAAGCATCCTTGGATTAGATGAAAAGTCATAGGAGTCAATGCATAAAATAGGAGAGTGGAGCTGTAAAAGATTATTTGGCAAAAATTAGTTTGGTTCTATATTGGAGAACTCCTTCCTCCCACTAAATAGAATAGTTATGCTGAAACTGGATCATTCATGACAGCTATCAAGTGTAAATATTTATTAAGACTAATATTTAACACTTACAGCATTTTCCTCAGAGGATATTACAGCATTTTACAGCACATTAATAAATTAAACTTCGTAAGGACTTCTATCTGGTAATTAAGCATTATCTAGTTTACAGAGGAAGAGGTACAGAAAAGTGACTCACTCCAGGTTACACTGCAAGCATCTTAGCAAAGTTGGTATAAAAATCTAATTGACTCTAAGTCCTGCACTTTAATTGCTTAAATCCTGCTCCATCCTAGCAAAAATTACTGCAAATGTAAAGTGAGACATTTCATAGATATTAGACAAATATTATAGGTATTTCAAAAGTATTATACAACAAGTGTTCAGTGCAATCTTGTGCTTACAGACCTGTAGACCTTACTTACCACAAGGTAAATTGAATTAAATAAGTACAAATAGTTATGAAGCAACTCAGTGAACTAGTTATGATAGGGACCAGTGAAGTTTTTGTAAAGAAATACTTAAAACTCCTGCATATAGGAGGATCAGAAATATATAAAACATTTTAAAGTCTCTTATAAGAGTCTAAGAGATTAATAGTAGGATGGTCCAAGGTTGAGTACCATTCTGGATGATTAATACAATTCATTAACAATCTATAAAGAGTATGAGTGGTGAAGTGTCAACATTTACAAGTCACAAAATTATTTAAGATAATTAAAACTAGAGAAAAATACAGGAAGCCAGAGGGATAATAAAGATGGGTCATTGTGCAGTACAACAGCAGGTGAAATGAAATGATGGAAAATACAATGTACTGCTCTAAGTTCATTGTAATCAGTGGGCGCATCTACACATTGCTGAACCATGATGTTGCTAAGGCACTGTGCTTTAGTATTTCCTTTTGGAAGTACTAAAGCACAGTGCAGTATGAGTGGTTACTGCACCATGCACGTACATGGTTAGATTTTGCCTCTGTGTCACCATAGCAGCGTGCTATACCAGGGGAGCATGCCACTACAGCGAGGTAGCTGGCAATCATATGTAGACCCATGTGATCGCTATGTTACCATAGTGTACCTTATGGCGATGTAGCTCATTGCTACTTCACCATAGGGTGACATGTAGACACACCCACTGAGGAGAAACTTGGAGTGCAAACTCTCAGCTCAAAGCACAGCAGCAATGAAAGGAAACAGGATATTAGGATGCATAAAGAATGCAATAAAAATGCCAAGAGTTATTAAATAAACCAGTGGCATGCTCATCTGGAATACTTTACTTCCAGTCACCATATCTGATAAAACATAGCAGAGAAAAAAAGAATTCAAAAGCAGCTGATGAAAGTGGCATAGAAAAGCTTCCATGCGATCTGCATGATTTAGTTTATTTAGAAAAGAGATGAATAAGAGAGAACATACAGGCACATAAGGCAATAATATTAGGCAAAATATATCAAGTGCTTTTATTTATCCGTCTAATCAAAACTGTGAGCTTTCCAATCAAATCAAAAGACAGAAAAGTCTAAAATTGCTTCTCATTTAAAAAAAATTAAAAGGATAACAGGTAACAGTGGGATTCACACTGAAGCCAAGATCAGAGGAAATGATCATATACCTATGGTTGTAAAGAGAATGTGCGCTGTTACCTAGGATCATGTAAAGTAGGGTATAAAAACAAACATTAACTAACAGTAGTTTGGAAGAAGCTTCCCTATTGTGCTACTAATCTGAAAAAGTAATGGTTTTAGCTGGTTCCTCTGAAGCATTTGCTACTGTCCAGTACAACATACAGGACTAGATGGGTCTAATCTAGTCTAGCAGTCCCCCTGAGGGTCTACCATTCATGTCCTTGCTCTTTTTTATTTTAATGGAAGTATTGTATGCAAGAGAGGGCACATCTACACATGCATTTAAGCATGACTAAATTTAATGTGCATTAAGCTAATGCGCATTAAGTGATTTTTGGCAGGTATCTACATGTGCATGGACATGGCACTAAAGTTAGTCCTACGTCCCTGCATCCCTGCCATGTGCCCCTGTGGCCACCTGGGGGAATTCTAGCCTCCAGCCACATGGCTACCTGCACTTGGCAGCCCTAGCGACGCCGAGATGCCGGCCCCTGCCAGCCATATGGAAAACTCTGATCCCTGGCCAGCCCCTTCCCTGCCCAGAAGCCATGTGCCCAGTGCGTGTGGTGGCTCCCTCCTTGCCCACCCTGCCTCTCTGCACCAGGGCTGCTCCAGCCCCTGCCCCTGCCAGTGATGACCAGTACCATGCTGATCCTCGTGGCCATGGTGTTGCCCCCAGCAGCAACCCCCACCCTGCCCAGGCCCCAGGATAGTCACGCATCCACTAAGAGAGGTCAGGGCACTGGCTGCAGGAGGCCCCGGCCAACTCCCTCCTGCTGCACTCCCTGCTTCAGCCCTCTGCTGGCCACACATCCCCTACCCCCTGCCCACCCTCAGCACCACTCAGGATACGCACATGGGTGAAACAAAAAAAACTTTATTACCCTCAAAACACCCACCTTCCTCAACAAACAGAGCTCCTCCACTACCTTCCCCACCACCAACAATAACAAAAATGGGAAAGTATATGCAAGAGGAAAACTATATGCAATATTTTGGGTCTTCAAGCCCAGAGTGGAGGGCTATGGGTCCTTTATATTTTTCTCTTGTTTTTAAGGTGTGGGGGGAGGGTGAGGGGGGAGAGGCAGATCAAGGCTCCCGTGCTGAGGGAGGGAGTGGGGCTGGGGCAGGGGTAGGTGCTGCACAGCCGGGGTGGAGAGTGAGGGATGAAGTGAGGGATGGAGTTGCGAGAGTGGTTAATCCAGGGCGTGTCGGTAGAGGTGGCAGCTCTCACTGCTGCGTGTACTCTGGTGGAGGTCCGGGGGCATGTGCCCTCCAGATCTGTGCGCGGGGCAGAGGCAGCTGCTGCTTCAGGCTGGACTCTGCACCCCAATGCTGCTGCCCCAAGAGCCGCGCAATGCCATGTGCCTGCTGCCGCTGGGCGGGTGGGGAACACACACACACAGATGCCGACACAGACACATACAGACACCCAGATGCAGACAGACACACACACACGCGGATGCAGACACAGATACAGATACAGACACACACACACACACATGCAGACACACATGCAGAACCCCCCCCCCCCAGCAGGGCAAGGGGGGTGGGGGGGGGGCAGGGTGGAGGGGGTGGGGGGAAGTGTGTCTGTGTGTCCACTCCCAGGAGCAAGGCCTGTCGGGAAGGGCAGTGATGCCCCTCTGCAGGCTGCACATGCACCTCCTGGATGGCTGGATGGGATGGAGAAGTTCACACGCAGTGGCTGCCACTATCAGCACCCCATGCTGCCACACCGCACACCACTTTCTCATGGCCGGTCACATGTGCAGCTCCATGGGCTGGTGATGGGCCTTGCACCCAGCCAATTGTGTGCTGCCCGTCTCCAGCCTACAGAGCCACATGTGCAACCAGCTGTGAGAAAGCAGCGCGGGGCATGGTAGTGGCGGCAGCATGGGGCAGTGATGGTGGCAGTGGTGGCCGCCATGTTCAAGCCCCCCCCATCCAGCCAGTCGGGCAGAGTGTGTGTGCCCTGCAGAGGGGCACTGCTGCCCTTACCCCCCTGGCCCTGCTCCTGGGAGCGGGCACACAGAGCGAGCTGAGGTGGGGGGCAGGGAGGCACTGCAGTGTGCTGCGTGGGGCCAGTGGCACCCGGCATGCTCCTTCCCCTCTCCCTCCCCTGGGTAAGAAGCTAAGTATGGGAATGCACTGGGGGAGCTGCTGTCACCATGTCCCAGGGAGCACTCCATCCCTGCTCACCTGCCCACCCTTGCATACCCCCAACTGCCTTTCTAAGTACCCCCGGTTGACAGCCCCTGTACTAGATGATCCCTGAGGTCCTTTCCAGCTATAGAATGTTAATTCAAGCCTGCTAATTAGAGGAATCAAGACTGAGTAGCTTTTTTAAATACTTCATATTTTGGTTCACTGGATATTTCGTTTTGCTTAATCAGAATATTTTTTGGTATAGAGATTTATGAAGGTAAACATGCTAAATAACTACTACTACTGTTCCTATTTTGTAATATTTAATTTATAATAAATGCTTACACAATTATTTTCAATGTAGGTGTGAAAGTTCTCTGGAAGAGTAGCTAAAAATTACTTGTTCCAGCAAATCAGTCAGAGGAGCACTTGATTGCCCAGATCAGCAGTAGAGCCAGGTTCAGAACAAAGACCTGACATCCAATCAGTGCCATAGCTATAGACCAAACCACAGGTAAGAAATCTTTAAGTTTAAAGGGAAAACTAAACAAAACCAAAAAAAAAGTAAAAAGTAAAGATTTAAAATTGACATGCTGTCCAGTGGAAACACTCAGACACCTGTGTCCAACTTCAGGTTTTTCTGTTCATATTTGCTTTAATGACTAGCAGCTCCATCCTGAAACAAGGGCCATGGGATCTATCAGTGCTTATATCACATGGCTTGAGCCTTTCTGTACTGCCAAGTTTATGTTTTTCCATTTCCCTAACAGTGTGAATGTTCAGAGTCTGAGAAGAATCATGTGGTGTTTGTTGTCATTTCATTTTACAATGTGATGGATTCAGAGCAATGTCATCTATCGGGCATAAATCCACCAGGAGAAGCCTTTTGCTTTCTGATTTTATTGAAGCAGAAGCAGGGGGTGTGTAAATCAAAGAACAATCAAGAAAATGTGAGTTGCATGTTTTTTGTTGAAATCTTGTAGCCTTCACTCCCCCCTGCCCACCCCCCCCCCCACAAAAAAAAAAAAAAAAAAAAGATTCAGGGGCTGATTTTCAAGTAGTTGGGTATAACAATTAGTGTGGTCCCTAGGTGTGCTGGGCATTTACGCAGAAGTAGCCAGAAACTCTGGAGACCAGCATGAAAAAAATTTTTTTTCAGTGTTTTGGTTGATTGCCTAATACGTAATTGCCAAAATTACTTTTCTAATTTGATCTTGCGATGACTAAAAACATTCAATTAAATACAGTGCTGAACAGTGGTATCACCTTCATAGGATCAGTTATAACTAGCCAGAAATATATTTTTTAAAGTTAATCAGAGGCAGCAGGTATTTGGATTATTGTATGGAGGATTAAAGTAACCATTAACTTCTGCCCTTTTTTCGAATGATTGTGAAGCTGACACTTTGCCATCTCTAAGTGGATGAGAAGTTGACCCATTAGAACCATAGCACTTGTAGGTAACATGGCTTTCTGAAGCAAACATGCTCAGGATGACCAGGACATTATAGCTCTGAAGGGAGCCTGGATGTGCCAGGGCTGCACTTATGTGTAATTACAAGATGTATAAGAGTATATGCAAGTTTTCTATGCTGATGGCAAATTGCTCAGGATAAGTAGCAGTGTTGCCCCAGGAAGCCATTTGTGCCTCAGTATAACTGGCTTAGGTGCTGATGCATATGGACAAACCTTTGTACTCCTGTAAAGCGTAGTTAATTTTAAAATTGCCTGTAAATGAAGAGGTCTACCTTCATGGACCAAGTCTCATGATCAGGGCTTTAGATTATTTTGCAAAACTGAAAATAACCTTGACTTTATGTTTAAACAAGGCTGGTTCCTAGGCAGCATATCAAACCCTCTTATGCCCTTGACACATGCCAAGTCTCTTTCAGACTGGTGCTTATCTTTCTGTGGGGATTTTATGGTGGCTTCTATCCATCTCTTGCTTTCTCTCTCTCTGTTTGGTTATTTTGAGTTCTTTTTTCCCTTTTTGACCTTCAATTTCTATGTCCTAACTCATCACTCTTTAACTTCCAATTAGCTTCTTCTCACTACCTCTCCTGTTTGGGGGAGCTTCCAGCATTGGGTCACTTCTCTCTTTTCTGTTACCTCCTTTCCAACCGCTGCAGAACTTCCCCATTACTGGATGCCATCCCTTCTCCTGCCAAAGGGACAATGACCTTTGTTAGCTGAATCCTGAAAACTTGCTCAGTAATGTATAAAATACCAAATTAAATATTTTTCCTGCTACTTCAACAGTAGAGAGGAAAGGACTGTCACTCCATGTCCCCTTTTCAGTAAAGTTATCTACCTGATTTTAGCCAGGAAAGTTCATATCAGCTTGGGTGGTCCCTTCTATGAATAAAACCACAGCAGAAAACACAAGTGTCCATGTGAAATGAGGAATGCTGGCAGAGTAGGAGGGAGGCTATAAAACAATTTATTCTGGTTAAAAATAATGTAAATTTATTATCTCTGGCAAAAGAACAGTTCAGTGACCATCCAAACTCATGGATGGAACTTCATGTGGCCTTTGCAGTTTCCAATAACTTCCAATAACTACTCACTATCTTGGAGACCAAGCAGAAATTTAGAGGATCAGCAATGTTTCAGATGTTGCATATGCTTGGAACATTTTATATAACCAGCATTAATCAAAATTGGACCTGTTTTCACCACTCAAAAGTATCTAGTTTGCTAAATATCTTGAATTCTACCTTTGGGTGCGCCAGGGAAAATCGCTGCTGACTTGTAGTCAGTGTAAGATTTAAATACTTGACAAGAATACTGAATGGGAAATTCCCTACAACTGGCACCAAAACTAAATGAGATGCATATTAAACCCTGAGCAACTGTTCTTCACAATTCAATTGCCACTACTCTTTCTTCCTTTTAAGAAAAACAGTCGTAATCAAATTGCATCAAGTATGAACAAGCTGTGATAAAGTCCTTTAGAAATGTAATGCCACAGAGCAAGAAGAAAAACGAAAACACATGCTATCCTATCTAAAAAAGAATAATTCTAGTTTTAGGCACTGACAACCTGGCAACTCCTTCTCAAGAATACTTACTCATCATCACACTGATTCCTCGGAACAGTTGAAAAATGATATTCATTTGCCGTAGCTTCCTTCTTAAGAAGCTAATGGTTCTTCATCCAAAGCTTGAAAGTGATACTGTCCTCCTTCATTTGTATCTATGACAATGCTACCTGAATTACACGGTCTTGTGCCACTGTATCCAGTGATACTCACAAGCACAGGTTGAAAGCTGAAACAGATGGCTGGTCATTTAGTCAATGTTGTATGACTAGTTGGTCCATGTTTATACTGGAACAAGTTTTTCCAAATAAATTATTAGCAATTCAGCACAGCTGCTGGTATAACCAGTGTGATCCTAGTGGGAAGCAACTTCTCTAGGGAGTGGAAGTGGCAGGGAAGTGGCTTGTCTAGGGAGCTTTTCCCCTTTCTCCAAAGTTGATAGTTATTTCAGCTTCATAAACAAGAACATTTAGGACTAAACAAAAGCTGCTCCACTGTTACAAACTAAGGGCCTTGTTACACCCTACCTACACTGTGAACCACACAAATGTTGATCAGTGCTAGTGCTAGCTTGGAGTATGGGGCATTCACAACCTTTAGTCTAATAACCTTCTCTGACTTTCCCCCACCTGCAGAGCTGTGACTTACCTGGTGATCAGGGGCAGGACTAGGAGCTGTAGCTGAGTTGCCACTAAAGGGCCAGTGAGCCAGGACAGGCTTCTATCCCTGTTCTCCAGGCGGGGATGTGAGACATCCCAGGATACTGGAAGACTCCAATTCAGGTGACACATTTGTGGGGAGTGACCACATCTTAATGGAACAAGAAACTGAGTAGTGTAGATTAGAAATAATCCTGCCCTGGAGTGGTGTAACTTTGAGTTGCAAAACAAGTGCTTAAAATCACTTTAAGGTGTTAATGTATGGACAATCCAAGGGTTAAGAGCTCTAGGAGCCACCCAGAAGTACTGTGTAACTAGGCCTTAAGACAGTGTTTCCCAACTGGTGTGCCATCAGTACTTCAATGCAGGAGACCAGTGCCATAGCAGATGTGGGGGCGGGGAGCAAGCAGAGTGACCACCCCGGTTGGCAAAGAGAAGGGGCGCCAACAGGTGGTGCTCACCTGGGGCAGGGCGCAGGACGGAGCCACGAGCAGCTTGTTTGGGGAGACATGGGAATGGGGGAAGGGTGGCTTCTGCTGCTGCGTGCACTCCTAGGCAAGCATGGAGGGAGTGTGTACCCCCTGGATCTGGGCATGGGGCGAAGGTGGGAGGCTGCTGCAGGCTTTGCCCTGGGCACCACACTTCATTGCTACAGCACTGCAGGAAATGGTCAATTTTATTATCCACATTGCCTGAAACAGTAGAGCTTAGTGGCACTGCCCCTTGGTAGGGGTGGGGGAAGCATGATCATTTTCCTTCCCACCCACAGAATAGCAAGCAACAGAAGGGAAATCCTAAATAAGAATGTACTGTATCTTTGTTGCAGGCATGGCAAAAACTGTTGGCAACTGTACTTTCCCTTGAATCCAGAGGCACACTTGCTTCTCCTGATTTGCACAGACCTGTCTACAGACAAATTTTAATGAGACACATCCACATCCACATCCTCCATCTCATGGTGGAGCACTTGCTCCCAGAGCCTGAACTTAGCTCACAATATGGTAATGAACAGTGAGCTAAGGACTTTCCAAATCCAGCTAGTTGAATATGGAGGATGCTCATTTGAAGATTCCTTACTTCTTTGGGATACAATACTGTCTTTTGTTGGTTTCTCCATTACATCGTCTTCATGTTTGTTTTCAATATTACGGATCCAGAGACATGAATGCTTCCCTCAGTCCAAAGATTTGTAGCTTTGCTACGCTGATATAACAGAACTTTCTGCCGTTATCCTTAGATCTTAATTGGCTTTTTATGTGCTTCTGAATCCGGTTTGAAAGCATCTCTCTGGTCTTTAAAATCTTCCATGTAGTACATCCCCATACTCTTCTAGCTGTCTGTTTCTATTCTCCAGTTTATTTCTCACAATCTTCTGATATCTACTTTTTTGTCCACCCTCCTTCACTGTCCAGATTGGCTAGGATATATGTATTCCTTCTGGGCTGCTGCTCAATCTGACATTGTCTAAATGTTCATCATTTCATGCTTCTGTATGAAGTGCTCCTTTTAATAAAGGGTTCATGTTTCCAGCAATTCTAGTTTCCTTGTGACCAATCAAGAAGCATCATTATGCCCTGGCTTTGCTTCTAACATGTACAGCTACACAGGGTAGGTCTCTCTCTCTTTCTCCATACGTATAAAAACTACAATGTTTATTTATATTCAGTTCTAAGGTTCTAATATCAAAGCACTTTAAAAAAGTCACATATTGAAAGCTAAATGAATAACACAATACAATCTTCACTTATGTTTAGAAAATGATCATTTGTAATAGCTGAGAAATACTTTCAGTTAGGTGCTCCCTATGGCTCTGGAAATTATTCAGCATACAGCATCATTTTTTTCCAAGGCAGCCACAGCATGTGTGTGTCTTTATCTGTAAGTAAGTATAGAATTTGGTTGTGGTTCATTTCAGATTATAGCAGTGCCTAAAACAGGTACCATGAACAAAAGATCACAAAGCAAAATTATTAAATTACCTGTTTTAGGGATAAATTGGGACAACACTAATCTCTTTTAATCCATAAACGATTTGCAGTCCCTTCCCACAAAGAACATGTTTAAGAATGTGTCACGACCCTTTTTATGAACTCCTGATTAGGTAATGAGGTTCACCTATCCTGATTAGATCAGGCTGATTAAGGAATTTGGATACTTTTCCCAAAGCTTCCTGCACCTGAGCGAGGAACTCCTGTTAGTCTACTCATCAATATGCCTGAAGCTTTCCTACCAAGGAAACAATTTAATAAAACTCTAAGATTTGGGAATTTAACCCTTAATTCATGTTAAGTTAGCCGTCTGTTAGCTCAGCCTTAGTGAGCTGAACCTGACAGACTGTGTGCTCCAATGTGGGGAAATTCATAGCCCCATAACATCTGTAGACTGTCACTGTGACTTTAAAGTTCTAATCTGAAAGCTGCCCTTCAAATAAATAGAGTTGCCTTCCAGTTTACTTTGTTGGGAAAGCCTGTTTACAAGGAAGTAAAAATACTTCCTTTACACTTCATTTCGAAATACCCTTATGCATTTCAGAAGCAACCTGGAAAAATGAATTACGTGTGCTGTGGCAATATATATCTAGCATGTGTGTGTGGGGGGGTGCAGTACCTGGCTGTTGAGTGGCTCAGTATCCAAAGGTGTGTGTGTGAATATATATCTAGGGGGTATGCATGTGTGTATATACTACCTGGCTGTTGAGTAAGCTCAGTATCCGTGTGTGTGGAGGCGTTGTACCTGGCTGTTGAGTAGACTCATTATCCAAATATTTGGAGGGACATGCTGAATCTCCCACAACATGTATGTTTTGTACTACTCACCATATTCAAATCAGTGGCCAGTAGTAATAAGCTTCATAGATTGATTCATAGATTGTAAGGGGCTGGAAGCGACCTCACAAGATCACCAGGTCCAGCCCCCCTGCACTAGGCAGGAAAGACAGCTGGAGTCAGTTGACCCTAGTGAGGTGACCGTCCAGTCGCCTCTTGAAGATTTCCAGGGTAGGTGATTGCACCACCTCTAGAGGGAGTTTATTCTACAGTCTGAACACCCTAACTGTGAAGAAGTCTTTCCTAGTGTTCAGCCTGAAACTGTCTTCTAGGAGTTTGTGGCCATTAATCCTGGTTTTCCCCAAGGATGGCCTGATGAACAGGTGTATGCCGAGCCCTTGGTGTATTCCCCTGATATAGCAGTAAGCTGCTACCAAGTCCCCTCTCAGCCTTTTATTTTTTAGGCTGAAGATACCCAAGTCCCTCAGCCTTTCCTTGTATGGCTTGCCTTGCAAGTCTCTGATCATACAGGTGGCACTTCTCTGAACTCTCTCAAACTTTTTCATGTCCTTGTTGAAGTATGGCACCCAGAACTGGATGCAGTATCCAGCTGTGGTCTCACCAATGCTGAGTAAAGCGGAAGAATCACTTCCTTGGTTTTGCTTGAGATGCATCATTTGATGCATGCCAGAGTATTATTTGCCCTACTGGCTACAGCATTGCACTGATGGCTCATGTTCACACTATGATCTATTATTACCCCTAGGTCTCTTTCAATCATGGGGCTAATCAGTTTGGTGTCACTGAGCCTGTAAGCATGTTGGGGATTGTTCGTCCCCAGATGGAGCACTTTACACTTCTCAATTTTGAACTTCATCTGGTTCCGATCCGCCAAACTTGCCAGTGTATCTAGGTCTGCCTGTATCTACAGTTTATTTTCAAGCATGACCACACTCCCTCATAACTTGGTGTTGTCCATGAACTTGGTCAGTGAGCTCTTCACCCCCCCATCCAAATAATTAATAACGGTGTTGAAAAGTACTGACCAAGCACAGACCCCTGAGGGACACCACTGGCCACTTCTCGCCAGGAAGACTGTGGCGTCTTGCGCCCTTCGAGCTGCCCACCTGTCGGGGTGTGGCCCCTCCCCTCAACTCACCTGCCATGACTCTGATGTCAAAACTTACTATGAGAGGGGGTATTCAGTGGAGATCTTTCCCAGGGGGTCCTCCCAACGGACGGCGGTACCTACAGTCGTATGGCGCGATGTTCCACGGGGCTCCATCTCCCCTACACCCCGTCCACTTGCCAACTGGGTGGATATGCGTTAATGATGGTCTCTGGCCCTGTAGGATGGCCGAGGGCCTGTCTTCCTGGGTTCAGTCGCTCTTCCTCCCCTCTCGGGGTTTGTCTTACTTCAAAGAAAATATTCCCCTGAATAGGAGGGGGCTGCAAAGCTGCCTCCTTTATCCCTGCCTCCTCTAGGGGTCTCAAATGACTCTGGTGTCCACAGGGAACTCTCCTGCCTCCTCAGTCTCAGCTTCCACTGGGGGCTGAGGGGTGCCCCTGCTTTGCCTCCTGCAGGAGGATTAAGGATCTCCCTGGTGCCGCCTGCAAGAGCCACGCAGGCTGGGTTGCTTCCTTCCTGTGCCGGAGCTGCAGCTCCCCTAACGAGCTGCCAGCCCCTGCTCTCTCTCTCCGGCTCTCCCCCCGCCCTAGTTCTGGCGGGGCTTTTAAACTTTCTCGTGGCGGCTGGTATGGCCGCTTGGATTGGCCCAGCTGTTTCTCGCACCAGAAACAGCTGATTAAACAGCCGGCATAATGCTGGTTCGCACAGCTGCGGCCGCGGTTGCAGCTCCTGCTCCGGCTGCCCTGCGGGGGGGTGAGTTAGCCCTGCTGGGGGCCTGCTCCCGTGGTATGGGGCCCATGGGGTTCACTCTCTCCCCTTTGGGAGCCCGTGGAGGTGCCTCGCTGCCACAACGACACAGATCCATTCATTAGAACTCTCTGGGTCATACCCCACAGCCAGCTTCCTACCCACTTAACTGTCGAGCAGTTAAGCCTGCAATCCTCCAGTTTTCCCAGGAGAACATTATGGGATACCAGATCAAAGGCCTTTTGGAAGTCTACGTATACAATGTCAACCTCCTCTCTCTTATCCAGGTGGCTAGTTACCTGGTCATAGAAGGAGATGAGATTGGTAAGACAAGACCTGCCCATGACGAAGCTATGCTGGCTGTCATTCAGAATCCTACCTTTTGTAAGTGTATTGCAAATAAACTCCTTGATGAATTTTTCCAGGATTTTCCCTGGGATAGTTAGGCTAATTGCCATATACTTGCCCAGGTCCTCTCTCTTCTCCTTCTTGAAGATGGGCACAATATTAGCCCTCTTCCAGTCTTCAGGGACCTCCCCCTGAGCATCATGAGTTTTGGATGAGTTTTGCCAGAGGTTCTGCGATGACTTTGGCCAGCTCCTTCAGCACTCTCAGATGAAGTTCATTCAGTCCTGCTGACTTATAAATGTCTAGCTTTTCTAACTGATCACGCACCAGCTCAACATCAACAGTAGGAAGGCGGTCATTCCCACCATGCCCATTCTGAACCTTATCTAGTATGATTTTCCCCTTAGTCAGGTGAAATACTGAAGCAAAGTAGTTATTCAGGAGTTCAGTTTTCTCCTGAGTGTCAGTAACCAGCTGTCCTGAGTTGTTAAGCAGTGGCCCCATGCTTCCATTTGCTTTCCTCCTGTTCCCTACATACCTAAAGAAGGACTTCTTATTGTTCTTGATTTCTGTTGCTAGTTTAAATTCAGTCAGTTGCTGCCTTAGCCTTTATAATCTGCTTCCTACAAGTGTGGACCGTTGTTGTATAGTCCTCTTTTGGGACTGTCCCAATCTTCCATTGTTTGTATGCCTCTTTCTTCTTTTTCAAGAGGACCATTATTTCCCTATTCAGCCAAGAGGGCTTACCAGACATTCTGCTACCTTTCCTTCACATGTAAATGCACTTCTTTTGTGCTTTGAGGATCGACCACTCTTCATGCACTTTTTTTACCTTCAGTCCCTGGTCCCACAGCACTTTCCCTATTATTGCCATGAGCTGGTTGAAATTAACTTCTTTGAAGTCCAAACTTCAACCCTGTTAGCTGATTTGCCTGCCTTGTGATGGACAGTGAACATGATGGTTTCATGGTCACTGTTGCCCAGGCTACCCTCTATATTCAAGTAGCTCACCAGATCATCTCCTTTGGTCAAGACCAAGCCTAGGAGAGCATGACAT